CACCGGACCCCACTGGTCCAAGCTTAATAATCAATGGGTAATGCTTTTCTAACGGTCCTTATGCAGTCTCTGTAAAAATATGGAAAGGACCCCTGGAGGTTTACTTTCCTGAAAAAAGTGTGTTATGTGTCGGAACCCTGGTGGTGGGTTGCGGGATATCAAAGGGGAGGGGCAATTCACAGCAGGCTGGAGCCAATCATGGAGCAGCACAACAGGCTGGAGCCATCATGGAGCAGCACAGGCTGGAGCCAATCATGGAGCAGCAGCACAACAGAGAGCACAAAATCAGGTGTCAGGCTGGAGCTGGAGCGCACAACAGAAGTGTCAGTAGCAAGTGTGTGGTTCATTAGGCTGCAGCCAATCACAGAGGAGCACACTGAAGCGCACGCTTACAAACCACTGGTAAGTGCTGACTACAAGTCATGACTTCAAATTGTTATATAGAATGATTACAAATTATTTGTTGTTTGTGCAGCTTAGTCAAGAGTCCCTAATTGATGAAGTCGACTCAGATTCTGACGATTTAACTGTCAAGAAGAAACCTGTAAAAAAGTATGGAAAAAGAAAAATCAAAAACACTTTTCTTCAAGACTCGGAAAGTGACGAACCAAAGGCAAATAAGATTGTTATCATGCAGCTGCAAAAGAAGAAAAATGGGGGGCGAGTTTACAGCAAGAGACACTTCTGCCTCTACTGTTCAATGTCCTGCCACAAAATGTCCCGTCATTTGACTAGAAAACATGGAAATGAAAGTGACGTAGCCAGAGCATTGGCTCTACCTGTGAAATCTAAAGCACGTAAACTTCAGTTTGATTTGATCAGGAATAGTGGAAACCGTGAGCACAATGTTGAGGTTTTAAAGGCCGGCATTGGAACTTTAGTCCCAGCTAAAAACAGCCAAATTCCCCAGTTAAATCCAGTGAGTTTTTGCACTGTATAGACTGTGGGGCATTGCTTAAGCGAAAGTCGCTGTGGAGGCATGTGGCCAGGTGCCGGCTTTCACAGAAAGATGCCCAGGCTAAACCAGGGTAGAAGTAGGGTCCAGTCCCTCTGCTCCCTAGCCCAGCCTGTACCGGAGGGCATCAGCAAAAAGCTGTGGTCTTTAATTTCGGCAATGCATCAGGATGAGGTCACGGGTGTTGTCAAAGCAGAAAAGGGGATTCTGAGACTTGGAGAGCACCTGTACTTAAACACGGGCATGATAAGACTAAGCATGATTACATTAGGCAGAAAATGAGAGAAGTCGGTAGGTTAATTAACGAAGCAAAAACCGCAGGGAAACTGAAAACAATTAAGGATTTCTTTATTCCTTCCAACTTTAACCATGTGATTGATGCAGTCAGGTCTGTGGCTGGATATGATGAGGAAACAAATCAATACAAGACTCCATCCTTGGCCCTCAAACTCGGCCATAGCCTCAGAAAGCTAGCAGATATTCTTGAATGTGACTCAAAAATGGAGCATTGTGTTGATGAACTATTTATTAAAAACCTCCAACGAAGCCGGCTGCTTTTTGAGAAGAGGTGGGACGTCTGTGTTTCTTCTGCTGCCCTACAGACCCTCCGGCAAGCCAAGTGGAACACTCCGGACCTGCTCCCTCTGACTGAGGACGTTAGAGCCATGCATGCACATATTGAGGTATGTCGACCTGAATATGTGCAAACCCTAATAAGTGAGCCAACGTCTAAGCATTGGTCTAAACTGGCAGTTTTGACTCTTTGTGAGGTCATCATTTTCAATCGAAGAAGGGAAGGTGAGGTTTCAAAGATGCCACTGACAGCCTTTACCTTAAGAAGTAAGACTGGGATCCATTCTGACATTGCTCTGGGACTGTCCCAACTTGAGAAAAAGCTGTGTCAGCATTTTCAACGCATTGAAATTAAAGGGAAAAGAAGTCGGAAAGTGCCGGTTCTTTTGACTCCTGAAATGATTGCTTCGATGGAGGTGCTGGTGGAGAACAGAAGGGCCTGTTCCATCTCTGACCATAACCCATACTTCTTTTCCCGCCCGGGCGCAGACACCCACATCAGGGGATCAGACTCCCTACGCCAGGTAGCCAAAGAATGTGGTGCGGTGCATCCAGAGATGCTATCCTCAACCAAACTTAGAAAGCACATAGCTACTATGTCTACAGTTCTCAATATGAAAGAGAATGAGATGGACATACTTGCCAACTTCCTCGGCCATGACATTCGCATCCACAGGCAATATTACAGACTACCAGAGGGGACACTGGAGCTGGCCAAAATCAGCAAAGTGTTGATGGCCATGGAGCAGGGAAGAGTGACGGAATTCGAAGGAAAGAGCCTCGACCAGATACAAATTGAGCCTGAAGGTAATTCTTGATATTATTAAAATATGTATGATTTTTTTCCCCTAAAGGCCACTTGTATTTTTATTTTCTGTGCGACAGGGAGAGCAGTAGAGATCCTCTCACAAACGGACGGGCTAAAAGAAACTTCAAGCGGAGAACCTTCAACCATTCATCCAGATGCACCCCATGGTAGTGGCAGTGCCCCTTCTGGTAAGTGTACCAGGTGGGGGATTACAGCCAGGCTGCTTGGTCCTCACCCTGGGAGTGTATATTGCTAATATATTTTTATTTCTCTCCCTAGAACGTTAGAGAAAGCCATGGTCTGCATCTGAGGTGAAGGCTGTGGAGAAGACCATGACACCTTTCATACAGACTGGAAAGGTCCCTGGGAAGTCTCACTGCCTGGCCTGGCCTGGCCTGGCCTGCATTAATGCCTCACCAGATGACCTTAGACATCGGACATGGAGTGGCATTAAATTCTATGTCAAAAATAGAATCACTGCAATTCGAAAACAAAATCTAAAATAAAATTCCTTTAAAATAGTTGTTTGGTTTCTATTGACTGTTTTGTATTACTTAAAGTCTTGGTAAAAAAAGATTATGTCTATGGGTCCCATTCTGAACGGCCCTGTCAAAGGGACCCACCAGGTAACAAAAACGTGTATGTGTGTGTGTGTGTGTGTGTGTGTGTGTGGCAGTGTGTGTGTATGTGTGTGTGTGTGTGTCTGTGTGTGTGTGTGTGCGTCTGTGTGTGTGTGTGCGTGTGTGTCTGTGCGTCTGTGTCTGTGTGTGTGTGTGTGTGTGCGCGTGTGTGTGTCTGTGTGTGTGTCAGTGTGTGCGTCTGTAATCTGTCTGCTCTTGATTGTGAGGTAATGTATGGAAGCAGATGTCGAAGCGGAAAAAAACACAAATAGGATTTTCCACAGATTTTCATGTTGTCAGAACACAATTTTTGCAAATACTTTTTCAATCACAGTCACACAATTATTCTGCTGTTAATTGCTTCTGCTGTTTTGGAGTCAACAAACTCGTCTGTGCTGCAGGTTTGAAAAACTTATGTTGCATTTATTTATATAGCGCTTTATGTGACTCCCAAAGACTTCACATGGAATTATTCCATCACTCCATTCAAGGTAATGTCAACTACTGCTGCCGCCACAGCTGCCCGAGGCTACAAATCTGTGCCACTGGCCCTTTGAACCACAACCAATCATTCACGCACACACGAGACTCACACTCAAGACTCTGGGCTGTCTTGCCCAAGGACACAACAACAACTTACAGCAGCCAACCCCAAATACAGTCTGTACAATGTCAGTTTGCTCCAGGTATGACTAATGACTCCCAGAGGTCTCCCATCACAGACCTAACCAAGCCCTGTCCTGCTTAGCTTCTGAGATCTGCCTCCATGCATTTTATTTTGCCTATTTTAAAAGCAATTGGACTCAGAAATACTGCGAAATAGGGGATTATTATGGATCAGGCAAAAATGAGATTTAAAACAGGAAATGCCACAACTGCTCAAAACATATTTAATCAATACTTTCTACTTCTCTGAAAAACACCGGAAACTGGAAAGAAACAAAGTTCAGACTAATCCCCAAAAGGCAAAAGAGCAAAACAAGTAATTAAGTAATTCATGTTTATTTATACAAAAGCACTTCACAATCTTCAGGAAGTGAGACCTGAACACACTGGTCCATCAAAGCCTCCGACCAAACACCCTCCATTCATTACATTCAGACCTATTGTACATGTTTTTAGTGGTAGGGGAAACCGGAGCACCTGGAGGAAACCTACGCAGACACAGGGAAAACATATAAACTCCACTCAAGAAATACCCTGTTCCGACCGGGATTCGAACCCATGAGCTTCTTGCTGGGGACAATCAAACATTACACCACGTTACACCACGTTACTGCAGTTTATTTGAACACAACGGTCTCATTTTACATTCAAGCATAAAGACAAATCCTCCTAAAGCTGTGTTTTTCACAGAGTTTCATCATAAAAATAAACCGGTCGTTTTGGGTGATTTTCATGGACCTCATTTTTCACCGTAAACTGTTGGAACCAGACTCTGAGGCCGAGAGGAAGCTTCATAACGAGACTCTGAGGCCGAGAGGAAGCTTCATAACGAGACTCTGAGGCCAAGAGGAAGCTTCATAACCAGACTCTGAGGCCGAGAGGAAGCTTCATAACAAGACTCTGAGGCCGAGAGGAAGCTTCATAACGAGACTCTGAGGCCGAGAGGAAGCTTCATAACGAGACTCTGAGGCCAAGAGGAAGCTTCATAACCAGACTCTGAGGCCGAGAGGAAGCTTCATAACGAGACTCTGAGGCCAAGAGGAAGCTTCATAACGAGACTCTGAGGCCGAGAGGAAGCTTCATAACCAGACTCTGAGGCCGAGAGGAAGCTTCATAACCAGACTCTGAGGCCGAGAGGAAGCTTCATAACGAGACTCTGAGGCCGAGAGGAAGCTTCATAACGAGACTCTGAGGCCGAGAGGAAGCTTCATAACAAGACTCTGAGGCCGAGAGGAAGCTTCATAACGAGACTCTGAGGCCGAGAGGAAGCTCAAGCTTCATAACGAGACTCTGAGGCCGAGAGGAAGCTTCATAACGAGACTCTGAGGCCGAGAGGAAGCTTCATAACGAGACTCTGAGGCCGAGAGGAAGCTTCATAACGAGACTCTGAGGCCGAGAGGAAGCTTCATAACGAGACTCTGAGGCCGAGAGGAAGCTTCATAACGAGACTCTGAGGCCGAGAGGAAGCTTCATAACGAGACTCTGAGGCCGAGAGGAAGCTTCATAACGAGACTCTGAGGCCGAGAGGAAGCTTCATAACGAGACTCTGAGGCCAAGAGGAAGCTTCATAACCAGACTCTGAGGCCGAGAGGAAGCTTCATAACGAGACTCTGAGGCCAAGAGGAAGCTTCATAACGAGACTCTGAGGCCAAGAGGAAGCTTCATAACCAGACTCTGAGGCCGAGAGGAAGCTTCATAACGAGACTCTGAGGCCAAGAGGAAGCTTCATAACGAGACTCTGAGGCCAAGAGGAAGCTTCATAACCAGACTCTGAGGCCGAGAGGAAGCTTCATAACGAGACTCTGAGGCCAAGAGGAAGCTTCATTAACGAAACTCTGAGGCCGAGAGGAAGCTTCATTAACGAAACTCTGAGGCCGAGAAGAAGCTTCATAACGAGACTCTGAGGCCGAGAGGAAGCTTCATAACGAGACTCTGAGGCCGAGAGGAAGCTTCATAACGAGACTCTGAGGCCGAGAGGAAGCTTCATAACAAGACTCTGAGGCCAAGAGGAAGCTTCATAACGAGACTCTGAGGCCGAGAGGAAGCTTCATAACGAGACTCTGAGGCCGAGAGGAAGCTTCATAACGAGACTCTGAGGCCGAGAGGAAGCTTCATAACGAGACTCTGAGGCCGAGAGGAAGCTTCATAACCAGACTCTGAGGCCGAGAGGAAGCTTCATAACGAGACTCTGAGGCCGAGAGGAAGCTTCATAACCAGACTCTGAGGCCGAGAGGAAGCTTCATAACCAGACTCTGAGGCCGAGAGGAAGCTTCATAAGCGGAGTCATACGAGACTCTGAGGCCGAGAGGAAGCTTCATAACGAGACTCTGAGGCCGAGAGGAAGCTTCATAACGAGACTCTGAGGCAGAGGAAGCTTCATAACGAGACTCTGAGGCCGAGAGGAAGCTTCATAACCAGACTCTGAGGCCGAGAGGAAGCTTCATAACCAGACTCTGAGGCCGAGAGGAAGCTTCATAACGAGACTCTGAGGCCGAGAGGAAGCTTCATAACGAGACTCTGAGGCCGAGAGGAAGCTTCATAACGAGACTCTGAGGCCGAGAGGAAGCTTCATAACCAGACTCTGAGGCCGAGAGGAAGCTTCATAACGAGACTCTGAGGCCGAGAGGAAGCTTCATAACCAGACTCTGAGGCCGAGAGGAAGCTTCATAACCAGACTCTGAGGCCGAGAGGAAGCTTCATAACCAGACTCTGAGGCCAAGAGGAAGCTTCATAACGAGACCTCTGAGGCCGAGAGGAAGCTTCATAACGAGACTCTGAGGTCGAGAGGAAGCTTCATAACGAGACTCTGAGGCCGAGAGGAAGCTTCATAACGAGACTCTGAGGTCGAGAGGAAGCTTCATAACGAGACTCTGAGGCCGAGAGGAAGCTTCATAACGAGACTCTGAGGCCGAGAGGAAGCTTCATAACGAGACTCTGAGGCCAAGAGGAAGCTTCATAACCAGACTCTGAGGCCGAGAGGAAGCTTCATAACGAGACTCTGAGGCCAAGAGGAAGCTTCATAACGAGACTCTGAGGCCGAGAGGAAGCTTCATAACCAGACTCTGAGGCCGAGAGGAAGCTTCATAACCAGACTCTGAGGCCGAGAGGAAGCTTCATAACGAGACTCTGAGGCCGAGAGGAAGCTTCATAACGAGACTCTGAGGCCGAGAGGAAGCTTCATAACAAGACTCTGAGGCCGAGAGGAAGCTTCATAACCAGACTCTGAGGCCGAGAGGAAGCTTCATAACCAGACTCTGAGGCCGAGAGGAAGCTTCATAACGAGACTCTGAGGCCGAGAGGAAGCTTCATAACGAGACTCTGAGGCCGAGAGGAAGCTTCATAACGAGACTCTGAGGCCAAGAGGAAGCTTCATAACGAGACTCTGAGGCCAAGAGGAAGCTTCATAACCAGACTCTGAGGCCGAGAGGAAGCTTCATAACGAGACTCTGAGGCCAAGAGGAAGCTTCATAACGAGACTCTGAGGCCAAGAGGAAGCTTCATAACCAGACTCTGAGGCCGAGAGGAAGCTTCATAACGAGACTCTGAGGCCAAGAGGAAGCTTCATTAACGAAACTCTGAGGCCGAGAGGAAGCTTCATTAACGAAACTCTGAGGCCGAGAAGAAGCTTCATAACGAGACTCTGAGGCCGAGAGGAAGCTTCATAACGAGACTCTGAGGCCGAGAGGAAGCTTCATAACGAGACTCTGAGGCCGAGAGGAAGCTTCATAACCAGACTCTGAGGCCGAGAGGAAGCTTCATAACCAGACTCTGAGGCCAAGAGGAAGCTTCATAACGAGACTCTGAGGCCAAGAGGAAGCTTCATAACCAGACTCTGAGGCCGAGAGGAAGCTTCATAACGAGACTCTGAGGCCAAGAGGAAGCTTCATTAACGAGACTCTGAGGCCGAGAGGAAGCTTCATAACGAGACTCTGAGGCCGAGAGGAAGCTTCATAACAAGACTCTGAGGCCAAGAGGAAGCTTCATAACGAGACTCTGAGGCCGAGAGGAAGCTTCATAACGAGACTCTGAGGCCGAGAGGAAGCTTCATAACGAGACTCTGAGGCCGAGAGGAAGCTTCATAACGAGACTCTGAGGCCGAGAGGAAGCTTCATAACCAGACTCTGAGGCCGAGAGGAAGCTTCATAACGAGACTCTGAGGCCGAGAGGAAGCTTCATAACCAGACTCTGAGGCCGAGAGGAAGCTTCATAACCAGACTCTGAGGCCGAGAGGAAGCTTCATAACGAGACTCTGAGGCCGAGAGGAAGCTTCATAACGAGACTCTGAGGCCGAGAGGAAGCTTCATAACGAGACTCTGAGGCCAAGAGGAAGCTTCATAACGAGACTCTGAGGCCGAGAGGAAGCTTCATAACCAGACTCTGAGGCCGAGAGGAAGCTTCATAACCAGACTCTGAGGCCGAGAGGAAGCTTCATAACGAGACTCTGAGGCCGAGAGGAAGCTTCATAACGAGACTCTGAGGCCGAGAGGAAGCTTCATAACGAGACTCTGAGGCCGAGAGGAAGCTTCATAACCAGACTCTGAGGCCGAGAGGAAGCTTCATAACGAGACTCTGAGGCCGAGAGGAAGCTTCATAACCAGACTCTGAGGCCGAGAGGAAGCTTCATAACCAGACTCTGAGGCCGAGAGGAAGCTTCATAACCAGACTCTGAGGCCAAGAGGAAGCTTCATAACGAGACTCTGAGGCCGAGAGGAAGCTTCATAACGAGACTCTGAGGTCGAGAGGAAGCTTCATAACGAGATTCTGAGGCCGAGAGGAAGCTTCATAACGAGACTCTGTGCCCGAGAGGAAGCTTCATAACGAGACTCTGAGGCCGAGAGGAAGCTTCATAACGAGACTCTGAGGCCGAGAGGAAGCTTCATAACGAGACTCTGAGGCCGAGAGGAAGCTTCATAACGAGACTCTGAGGCCGAGAGGAAGCTTCATAACGAGACTCTGAGGCCGAGAGGAAGCTTCATAACGAGACTCTGAGGCCGAGAGGAAGCTTCATAACCAGACTCTGAGGCCAAGAGGAAGCTTCATAACGAGACTCTGAGGCCAAGAGGAAGCTTCATAACGAGACTCTGAGGCCAAGAGGAAGCTTCATAACGAGACTCTGAGGCCAAGAGGAAGCTTCATAACGAGACTCTGAGGCCGAGAGGAAGCTTCAGAACGAGCTGAACCGCGACTCCGCCGGGACAGAGGTGCTTTGTTTATCTGCCGTAGATATAATGTGCCGTGTATACAATAAAATACACAGAAGGCTGTTCCAGAGGCTTCAGCAAATAACGTCTGGCTCCGGAGTCGACCAAAGCAAAGCAGACCAAACCAGACCAAAGCAGACCAAACCAGACCAAAGCAGACCAAACCAGACCAAAGCAGACCAAACCAGACCAAAGCAGACCAAAGCAGACCAAAGCAGCGGCAAAAGCAGAGGTTTGAGCCACTGCACATACATGTACCACGGACCACCGCACATACATGTACCACGGACCACCGCACATACATGTACCACGGACCACCGCACATACATGTACCACGGTTACTACCACCGCACATACATGTACCACGGACCACCGCACATACATGTACCACGGTTACTACCACCGCACATACATGTACCACAGACCACCGCACATACATGTACCACGGACCACCGCACATACATGTACCACGGACCACCGCACATACATGTACCACGGACCACCGCACATACATGTACCACGGACCACCGCACATACATGTACCACGGACCACCGCACATACATGTACCACGGACCACCGCACATACATGTACCACGGACCACCGCACATACATGTACCACGGACCACCGCACATACATGTACCACGGACCACTGCACATACATGTACCACGGACCACTGCACATACATGTACCACGGACCACCGCACATACATGTACCACGGACCACTGCACATACATGTACCACGGACCACCGCACATACATGTACCATGGTTACTACCACGGCACAAAGAGCTAAAGTTTGACCCTATGACATACACGTGCTGCATAAGCCCAGAACATACTGTATTTGATCATATTAACAGTGAAATCCTTTGCAATCGTCTCCATGAGAACGGCACGAGCCCGAGAGGAAACTCATTCTGAAATATAGAAAGAATGACTTTATATTGATTGGAAGAGTTCCAGCTTTGGTGAATCTCTCTGAGCCCAAAACAAACCTCAGAGGCGGACTTTTGTTATCGGATAAATACTTCAACTTCATTTGCAAATAAATTCTGATGTTATGGATTTCTTTTTCTCATTTTGTCTCCCAGAGACAGAAGAGCTTAGAGAAAGTTACAGGCATCTCTCATGGTTTTAGTGCGAGAACTTTGTTTTTCATTCTTGGATCGCCCTAAATCAGAAAGTTCAAACACAGGAAATGCAGTGATAAAAACAGAGGCTGGGTCCATGAGGAGCAGAGACTGATGTTTATCAAAGTTGGACATTTCTAAATTGTATAAACACAAATATGGAACTTAAAGAAAAAGGATTCCTCTCAGTGTGTGCTTTCCTGAAGGTTCTCACTTTTTTCTGACTGGGTTTTTTTATTTTTCTGCTGCAGGAGGGTCTGAGGACAGTTCTGATGATCCAGGACCTTTAACTACATTCATGGACCTTTAGGATAAGATAAGACAGACTTTTTTGATCTCACACAGTGTATTTGCAGGACCAGGTCTGCACATTAGCCGTTAGCCGTTAGCTACACGGCCTTTGAACACGGCATCGGTAACCTCTAACAATCCCTTCTGTTCTGTCCCAAATAAACATAATAATTTGATTCTTTGATCTGTGTTTTGGAGAATCGACAGCTTTGGAAAGTCCTGCAAAAGAACCATTGTTGAGATTTAGAGCGATACAAAAACAAATTGAATGGACTTGACTCCAAACATTAATTCCAGACCCAGTCCTTGGGAACGTCTCCGAAGGGCATCAACAAACCCTGACTGTGTGTGTATCATTTCAACGCTTCCATTTTTGTATCAACAAACCACGGGACAGTTTACATTGAGCTCTAACAGCAGTGTTTGAAGTTCGTAGTTATCTTTAGAGAACATGAAGGGAGACTCCACTCGCATCGACGCCGCGACACGCCTCCGTTCTTTCGCAAATTCCCATAAACCTCCTCTGCTCTGATGTAACTGCCGCTTATAATGGATGTGTTTTGGTCGACGGCAAAGTGCCACCTGTTTCATGACAGATATTTTGCCCCAAATGTGAGGATAAACATTTCACAAGTGGAGAGAAATGTCAGGCGTCTCTGCGTGGTGTCAACATGGCGGCTTCGGGAGAATTATCCACCGGTTCCACTGAAAACGACTTGGAAAGCGTCTATTACACGACTGCAAATTTGAGGGAGCTGAGGGGCCTTGATCTCCCGATTGGAGGTGGGGCGGAGATGATTGGCTTTTCTTATGTATGCAGCATCCGAGGAACTCTATAGCCAAGATATTTACTCTTTTCTATCATTTATAAGTATTTTTGAATCTGCCGTAATTATATACATCTACACATGCAGTCGTTCAAACTCAGATCTGTCGACAGAACTTACCAAAGAATTATCTTGTGTTATGTTTTATGGCTTCAACTGTCGTGTCATTTCAGGAGCCGAGTAATGTCTAATCATAAGCCACAGATGTTAGAGGAGAAACATGTTGGAATCAATGCCATTGATGAGTTCAGCTGATAAACGAGACGAGGCTTTTCCACCGCCGCCGACCGGAACGCCGCACATGTGACCGGCGCTAAAAATACAAGGAATACGTTCTACTTTGCGCTGCCCTTTGAAAGAGCTTATAAAGGAGAAACAGAGGGATAAAGACGTATATATATAAATACATGGACACAGTATTCAGTTCTCAGTGGAAAAATTTTTAAACTGGCATCAATAAATCAATGAGAGCGTCATCCCAGACCAGTCCTGGGTCTACAGCCTCAGACCTGGGTCTACAGCCTCAGACCTGGGTCTACAGCCTCAGTCCTGGGTCTACAGCCTCAGACCTGGGTCTACAGCCTCAGTCCTGGGTCTACAGCCTCAGTCCTGGGTCTACAGCCTCAGTCCTGGGTCTACAGCCTCAGTCCTGGGTCTACAGCCTCAGTCCTGGGTTTACAGCCTCAGTCCTGGATCTACAGCTTTAGTCCTGGGTCTACAGCCTCAGTCCTGGGTCTACAGCCTCAGTCCTGGATCTACAGTCTCAGTCCTGGGTCTACAGCCTCAGTCCTACTGCACAATAAGGAGATTATGGAACAAACGAATATTCCCCAGGCAGAGATACAGAAAGTGACATTGGGTCTGTGTGTGTGTTTTAGCCGCTTACCTGCCTAGTCCAGTCCAGTCCAGCCCAGCCCAGTCCAGTCCAGTCCAGTCCAGCTGTGTGCGTCTTGTTTCTGCTGGCTCGTCTGTAATCCATCATCAGCACTTTTCCATTGTGCAGCCACAGTTTACACTTCATTTTAATCCACACGACCCTCCAGCACCAGCCCTGCCGCAGCACCCGGAGGATCCTCCACGGGCCCCCGCAGAGACCCCCGGGGCTCACTCCTCTTCCACCTGGCCCTTCTGATCCACTGCCCGCAGAGAAACGGCGGCCGCGGCGTGGATCAGTCCGTGGATCGGTCCGTGGATCGGTCCGTGGATCGGTCCGTGGATCGGTCCGTGGATCGGTCCGTGGATCAGTCCGTGGATCGGTCCGTGGATCGGTCCGTGGATCGGTCCGTGGATCGGTCCGAGTCCCACTGCGGTCTGCGCTGGGCTGAACACCCGCAGTAAGGTCCTCCTGGTCCAGGACTTTCTGACGTAAGTTTGAACCGAGACGTGGCAGCGGCGGAACCCCGTGTCCGTGAACGAAGCAGCCTCTCTGCGGGGGTCGGTCCCCTCCTGGTCCCTCCGGGGGCGGTCTCTCACGCACCGGTGCTGTCCGTGGATCTGCCTGTCGTTCTTTCAAAGCTACTGTTTTCAAACTTTCTGGACAGATCCCCAAAGTCACCACCACTATCTCTACAGACCACCATCTAGAATCTACAACAGTCTTCCTGAAAGTGTGAGACAGGATTTGTCTCTGACGATGTTTAAATCCAGGTTAAAAACAGTTTTGTTTTGCTGCAACTGAGGCATTATATATATATATATATGTGTATCTTTCTTTTTAACGCACTGTGATCATGTATGATGTTAATGCTATTGGGTTTGGTTCAGACTTTTGAGTTGTGTATTAATTGTGCCATACAAATAAACAGGCCCCGCCCCTTCCCACCAAAGCAAACAAGGATTTCATCACTGCTTTTCTGATTTACATTTCCACATGGACCAGGACCAGAACCACTCTCACTAAAGGCAGTTTGTCACCTTCTCCACTCTCTACAAAGTCATAATAATAATATATTTATTTATAATGCACTTTATATTTCCAGGAAACCTCAAAGTGCTGCCGAATAAAACACAAAACCACAAACAAACAAAAGCACCAGAAGTTCATAAATACATTAAAAAGAAACATGAATGGTTAAAGGAAAATATAATCCCGAACAGGCCTCACTTTCAGATTAATCCAGAATATGTTTTTATTCTGGATTAATCTGAAAGTGAGGCCTGTTCGGGATTATATTTCTTTTAACCATTCATGTAAATCTTCTGTTTAGGAATAACACCATCAGTAAAACTGTCTTTCACCAAATCCAACCACCGCAACCACCGCAACCTGTCCAACCACTTCTGTACAATATCATCGAGACTATTGGTCCTCCCAACTGTCAATCATTCTGCTGATACATCCAATGAGAACCGAGAGATTTGTTCAAAAAGTGGAGCGGGCGGTTCTTTCCTAAAATGTGTGAAAATCCTCCAATAATACTGAAACCGTTTATAATACTTTAAAATGATACTTTAATCAGTCTCCTTCATTCACACAGACCTTGGTCCAGTCCCGAAGACCACTCAAGACCACACAAGACCACACAAGACCACACAAGACCACACAAGACCACATAAGACCACACAAGGCCACTCAAGACCACTCAAGACCACACAAGACCACACAAGACCACACAAGACCACACAAGACCACTCAAGACCACACAAGACCACACAAGACCACACAGGACCACACAAGACCACTCAAGACCACACAAGACCACTCAAGACCACACAAGACCACTCAAGACCACACAAGACCACACAAGACCACACAAGACCACTCAAGACCACACAAGGCCACTCAAGACCACACAAGACCACACAAGACCACACAGGACCACACAAGACCACACAAGGCCACACAGGACCACACAAGACCACACAAGGCCACACAAGACCACTCAAGACCACACAAGACCACACAAGGCCACACAAGACCACTCAAGACCACACAGGACCACACAAGACCACACAAGGCCAAACCCACTACGTCATAACCATACATCATAACTAGCCATAACAAGGAGCACGTATAAAGTATTCCAGTGTTGCAGCGCACAGACAGGACAGTAGTGACAGACACAGGGAGCTGTAAGGTCTCAGTCATCATCAGTCATCATCAGTCATCATCAGTCAGTCATCAGTCATCATCAGTCATCATCAGTCATCCTCAGTCATCATCAGTCAGTCATCAGTCATCATCAGTCATCATCAGTCAGTCATCAGTCATCATCAGTCAGTCATCAGTCAGTCATCAGTCATCATCAGTCAGTCATCAATCATCATCATCAGTCATCATCAGTCAGTCATCATCAGTCAGTCATAAGTCATCATCAGTCATCATCAGTCATCATCAGTCATCATCAGTCAGTCATCAGTCATCATCAGTCATCATCAGTCAGTCATCAGTCATCATCAGTCATCATCAGTCAGTCATCAGTCATCATCAGTCAGTCATCAGTCATCATCAGTCATCATCAGTCAGTCATCAGTCATCATCAGTCATCATCAGTCATCATCAGCCATCATCAGCCATCATCAGTCAGTCATCATCAGTCATCATCAGTTAGTCATCAGTCATCATCAGTCAGTCATCAGTCATCATCAGTCATCATCAGTCATCATCAGTCATCATCAGTCAGTCATCAGTCATCATCAGTCATCATCAGTCATCATCAGTCAGTCATCAGTCATCATCAGTCATCATCAGTCAGTCATCAGTCATCATCAGTCAGTCATCAGTCATCATCAGTCATCATCAGTCAGTCATCAGTCATCATCAGTCATCATCAGTCATCATCAGCCATCATCAGCCATCATCAGTCAGTCATCAGTCATCATCAGTCAGTCATCAGCCATCATCAGTCAGTCATCATCAGTCATCATCAGTTAGTCATCAGTCATCATCAGTCAGTCATCAGTCATCATCAGTCATCATCAGTCAGTCATCAGTCATCATCAGTCATCATCAGTCATCATCAGTCATCATCAGTCAGTCATCAGTCATCATCAGTCAGTCATCAGTCATCATCAGTCATCATCAGCCATCATCAGTCAGTCATCATCAGTCATCATCAGTTAGTCATCAGTCATCATCAGTCATCATCAGTCAGTCATCAGTCATCACCAGTCATCATCAGTCATCATCAGTCATCATCAGTCATCATCAGGGAATGAGGAGACAGCGACATTCTGAAGGGGCAGTATTTACCTGTTTACAGATGATTGACATTTACAGACTCAGCAGCTCTCATTGTGCAGTACTGTGTATATTAGTGTCATGTATAGTTTCCATCTGTATGTGTGGCAGGAGGAGGCGGTCACAGCAGGAGGCGGCCACAGCAGGAGGCGGTCACAGCAGGAGGCCGTCACAGCAGGAGGCCGTCACCGCTGGGAGTGTGTCCTGAGAACATGGGAACTCCACACCACCTGGAAAGCCTAAAATGGGCTTTGGCTTTGGGAGAGTATTGTTCGTCCGTCCTCAGCGCGGCCCACTTATCGTCCAGGTGATTTGGGGAAGAATGTTGGCTCCGAGACCAACCATGGCAGAGCCATCCTTCGTTACACAAAGATAAATATGCTAAAGCCCCAGCCTCCTGCTTCACTCTGTCTCCTCCAGCACTTGCATCACTCAGCCAGCTCCATCTGCCATCTCTCACTGAACTCTTCCAACGCTCGCTTTTGCTTCACACATTCCCCGCCTTCATCCTCAGACTTCTTTTTTCTACGTTCCACCATTTTCTACCTCTCCACTTGTCCTTTGCAACCTCCTTTTCATCCCTGTTTCCAGCTGCTCTTTTCCCGCAGCGTTTTGGAGGCGGTACCCGGCACTCTCCTCCCGTATCCTCTCATCTAAATGGGACGTGTGGCCTTGCTCTATCTTGATTCCTGCAGACAGAAGGTGAGCGCTGCATTTCTCCCACATCCACACCTCTGCCTGCTCTCTGGTATTTGTTTTCATAACACAGAAATACATCGGCCTCGGTCACGCAAGGCATCGTCGGAAAGCTCGGCCGCATTTCAAAAAGCAAAGTCAAAACAGCATGTGTTGGACAGGCAGCCTGCTCTGAATGAAACATGGAATATGGGGAAAGAATAAAGCTTCTCTGGAGGTAAGATTCATATCGGATTACTGCAGGAGTGAAAGATTAAGATGAGAGGGGTGAAAACAGTGAGAATATCTTTTCGTATGAGCCTGTGCTAATGAGTATGATTAATGTTAAGCTTCTTGAGTTTCCACTATCCATGTGGTTAAAGAAACCATTACAATTCCCAGACTGCAAGTCATATCAAAGCAAATGTGAACAAGGCTGTGATTCTGTAACGGTCATAGACAGTACCAGGGAAACGGACCAGTGCTGACGTCACAGTGTTGCCTTAATGCGGAAGAGGCTGATCAGAGCTAGCTAAAACACACTATTTTCAGGCAAATTGTGTTGGTAGCAACGGCCTTGTTACCAAACACCAATCAGGAGCAGGGCCGGCCTGTCCCCACTTGCACTAGCCGCTAGCTAAAGCCAAAATCTGTGACAGAAGGCACATTATTGGTCGGTTGTTTTGGGGTCATGTCTGGATTTAACAAACAACACTAAAATGTTAACACCGGGATCACAAAGAGCGATTAACTGAGCATTTCTAATCCCAAAATGCTGAATTTAACACAAACAGTCACTATCTCAACGTAAGTCAATAGAAGCCAGAGAAAGTTGGAGCAAAACTTCGCTCATGAGCACTTCCCTATTGGGTTAGAGGGTGAGTATTGTCCATCTATACCCAGGCGAGGGTCACGTTCAGTACACAACACCAACAAAGCGGTTAAAGCGAGCGCAAATAATAGAATAAATGTGGACTTACAAGTTCTGTGGCGATGTGGGCGCGTGGCCGGGCCTTTCCCGGGGCGCCCCTGCCACCGCGAGGTCGGCTTGAACGGGACGGCGAGCTGGGAGGTGGGCGAGGGCGGCTTGGCAGTGGTTTTGAAAGCAGGAGTGAGAGTGGAGGAGGACGTGGAGGTGACGGTCACGCTCTGCCCCGGTTTGGAGTTTCCAGGTCTGTTACGGCCATTGTTACTCATTCCTTTTCGGACTTCCTTGTCGCTTGGGGGCGGGGTTATCCGGGAGGGACGCGTGGTGGAGACGGTGACCACGGTCCCGATGACGTGACTGCCAACAGGGTTGTGGAGGTGAGGAGCGCGGTTACCCTCACCCCCCAGAGAGCTCCCATTGGCCGAGTGGTTGGCCGGAGGTCGAGTTCTAGGTGCTGGTGCAGTACCATCAGCGGCCAGTAGGGTGGTAGTAGAAAGCAGAGCCGTGGTGGAGGCCGCGGACGTGGTACTTGTGGCAGGAATGTCTGGGCCTTTAGGCATGGCACTGGGTTTGGACAGGAATATAGGGTCCTGTCCAATGCTACCTTTGGGATCCACCAAGTCCGTCGGGACGTAGTCTTGCACCGAACCCACCACAATCCACTTGAGGAGCATCAGGCTGAGTCCTAGTCCCACAAACCCCATCACCAGTGGAACGACACAGAGCCAGGTCTGCTGCCGGGGCCACACCGCACAGGGGCCACAGCGCAGGGGTCCCTGGGCTCTTGGCGATGCCTGCTCGGCCCCTGGCTCCTCCAGTGTCATGGGAACAAGGGAGCTTGTGCCGGAGCGCTCACTCATCCTGTCAGGGGGGGGTTATTCTGCCGTGGGGAGTGAATGGGAGGTCAAACAGGTGGCCGGATGATGCAAGGGCAGAGACGAGGAAGGGGACGAGGCGCAGGAGAAATGTCGGGCATTTTAAGTGTTTAAGCACAAGACGCTGCCGTTGGACATGCAGAGAACACACTGCAGCTACAGCAGACACACACACACACACACACACACTGCACTGTTAACAACACTTTAATACATTCACAGGCAATATATATATATCATCTACACTCCCTCTGGTGGACAACAACACACACACACACCACACACACAACCATGGACATAACCCATGCACACTTCCACACAGGTTATGGACAGGTGAGAGGAGGGGGCGGGAGGGGGCGGGGGGCTGTCTCACTGTAGTTCAGCTCTAACGAAGCGAGGATAATTCCCAGGATGCTTCTCTGCCTGGTTTAAAAACACACAAAAACAGACAGAGGCGAGGCGCACACAAAAAAGAAAGGTATCGATCCGCGGGGTGGTGATGTGGAGACTCAGGGCTGTAAATCCATGTGCGTGTGCGTGTGCGTGTGTTGCCCCACGACAGCAGCTTCTCCCTCCGCGGTGATTATCGGACGCATATGCTCCTCAGACGTGTCAGCCTCCACCTTCTCACTCAAGTTCCATCATGGTTCCTGCACAAATAACGCAATAGAGACTCCCACTCTTCTCAGTTTGCGGTCTCGTAACTTTGACTCTGATCCATCCCCACCTCTTCCAGGGTTTTATTTATTTCTGTCGTTCCTTTGCTCACTCCACAGCTGTCAGTAAATCCTTTCGCTGAAAAGCCGGTGTGAGACTGCGCTCCTGGCTCAGGGCAGGGCACGGAGTCCAGAGAGGGGTATATCCGACTGCTCCACTCCGAGAGGAAAGACAGGCACAAAAACAACACAAAATCTATCCACAGGAGCTGCAAAACAACACATGACACTCAGCCCTGATGCGTTTCCACTTCGTGCGTCTGCGTCTCGTCCGTCACAACCCGCGATGATGATGATGATGATGGATCCCGCGGAAAAGAGGAAGAGGTTGAAGAAGAGCAAAAAATACTGCGAGGCTCAATGCTTGGTTTTTACCTCCGCTGCATTCTCACAGTGGTGCAAGGAGCAGCAGCGAGGAGGATGGAGGGGGGAGGATGGAGGGGGGGAGTGAGAGAACCGACGCACGGAGGAGGGAGGGGGCTGATGCTGCTGCTGCTGATGCTGCTGCTGCTGATGTTACTGCTGCTGCTGCTGCTGCTGCTGCTGCTGCTGCTGCTGCTGCTGCTGCTGCTACTGCTGCTGATGTTACTGCTGCTGATGCTGCTGCTGCTGCTGCTGCTGCTGCTGCTGCTGCTGCTGCTGCTGCTGCTGCTGCTACTGCTGCTGATGTTACTGCTGCTGATGCTGCTGCTACTGCTGCTGCTGCTGCTGCTGCTGCTGCTGCTGCTGCTGCTGCTGCTGCTGCTGAAAAATGATGCAGCGGCTGTTCTCGTTCGGGCTGCAGACTGAGGGAGAGACTGAGCTGAGCCGGGAGGGGGGGGAGGGGGGGGGGGGGGGTACAGGCTCAATCTGCACTGACTGATGCTGCGTCCATCCCATCCAAAAGTGACGAAGCGTGTCTTTCCCGTACGTCCCCCTCCTCACCCTCACCCTCTCTCCTCGCACACTTGAGTCTTGGATGGGTGAGAAAGTCTGCGGGCAATGTTGCCTCCTGTTTGGAGGAGGTGTGGACATATAGATGCTAAGGCACACACCCCTGGGAGAGGTGAGGTGAAGGGGGGAGACAGACTGACCGTGGGTGAGCGTGTGGGTGAGTGGGGGAGGGGGGGGGGAGGGAGGAGCATGCCACTGCCACCATGCAGGATTTGACAAGTAGGACAGGCGCAGTGCCAAAGTGGCTTCATGGATAATGCCATGTGCTCAAATCTGACTAGGAATGATAGACACTCTCCCAACACAATCTGGAGGTGTTATTACACGGTGTGGCCTGTAGGGGGCAGTGTGGCCTGTAGGGGGCAGTGTGGCCTGTAGGGGGCAGTGTGGCCTGTAGGGGGCAGTGTGCTCAGATTGGCGCAGTATAAATGTAACTTTTTGTCCGATTCTGCAGCAGAAAAACACAAAATGATCTGTTCAAATCCAGGTCAAAAACAGCTGTGTTTGGCTCAAAATACACCTGAAGGATTTTATATTTTAGAAGTGATTCTTCATGATGTGAACGATGGATTCTGAGATGTTTTGTTCAGCCGTGTGTGAACTGTGCTCATATTATTTACTGTGTAAAGCTTTAAACTGTGAATTACTCCCAAACTCTGATAAAAGCCAAAGCTCCGACACACACAGAGAAAGTCGACTGTCTTTAAAACGAGTCAAACACACACAGTACAGAGGGCAGAGTTTCAGACGTTTGTTCTGTGCTGTTCTGGGTCAAATGCAGAGGAGTCTTTTCTCTGTGTGTTTTCTTTAGAGCAAGGTCTGGGAGAGTCGTCTTTAAACGACATTATCGATGGATTATTGAGAGTTACATGAAAATCTGTGGTTAATGAAGAGAAAACAGAGACTTTCCTCAGAAGAAGCTGCGTCTGTAATATTCATGTAAACGACAGAATCCTTCAGACGCTGCTTCATCGTTTCTTAAAAACTAAACCAAAGTCATCATTAAAAAGTGATGTTGAAATAGTTGAGTTTTCAGAAGCTCCAGGAGAAAAGCAGAGTCTGGAAACGCTTCAAGGTCTGACGTTGAATCTTTCTTTTAACCACGACAGAAACATTTTGTGTTGAAGTAAAGTTTAATATTGAAATTTCTGAAGCATCCAAACGGCGAGATTTACAAGGCATCTGGAACAAGGGCCTGGACTCCTGCTGGGACTCTGAGGAGCACAGGGACCGGACTCCTGCTGGGACTCTGAGGAGCACAGGGACCGGACTCCTGCTGGGACTCTGAGGAGCACAGGGACTGGCCTCCTGCTGGGACTCTGAGGAGCACAGGGACTGGACTCCTGCTGGGACTCTGAGGAGCACAGGGACTGGCCTCCTGCTGGGACTCTGAGGAGCACAGGGACTGGCCTCCTGCTGGGACTCTGAGGAGCACAGGGACTGGACTCCTGCTGGGACTCTGAGGAGCACAGGGACTGGTCTCCTGCTGGGACTCTGAGGAGCACAGGGACTGGCCTCCTGCTGGGACTCTGAGGAGCACAGGGACTGGACTCCTGCTGGGACTCTGAGGAGCACAGGGACTGGACTCCTGCTGGGACTCTGAGGAGCACAGGGACTGGCCTCCTGCTGGGACTCTGAGGAGCACAGGGACTGGACTCTCCTGCTGAGCACAGGGACTGGACTGCTGGGACTCTGAGGAGCACAGGGACTGGACTCCTGCTGGGACTCTGAGGAGCACAGGGGGCTCCTGCTGGGACTCTGAGGAGCACAGGGACTGGCTCCTGCTGGGACTCTGAGGAGCACAGGGACTGGACTCCTGCTGGGACTCTGAGGAGCACAGGGACTGGGACTGAGGAGCACAGGGACTGGCCTCCTGCTGGGACTCTGAGGAGCACAGGGACTGGCCCTCCTGCTGGGACTCTGAGGAGCACAGGGACTGGCCTCCTGCTGGGACTCTGAGGAGCACAGGGACTGGCCCTCCTGCTGGGACTCTGAGGAGCACAGGGACTGGCCTCCTGCTGGGACTCTGAGGAGCACAGGGACTGGCCCCCTGCTGGGACTCTGAGGAGCACAGGGACTGGCCTCCTGCTGGGACTCTGAGGAGCACAGGGACTGGACTCCTGCTGGGACTCTGAGGAGCACAGGGACTGGCCTCCTGCTGGGACTCTGAGGAGCACAGGGACTGGACTCCTGCTGGGACTCTGAGGAGCACAGGGACTGGCCTCCTGCTGGGACTCTGAGGAGCACAGGGACTGGCCTCCCTGCTGGGACTCTGAGGAGCACAGGGACTGGCCTCCTGCTGGGACTCTGAGGAGCACAGGGACTGGTCTCCTGCTGGGCTACATTCACACACACACACATATACACGCACAGACACACACACACACACATATACACGCACAGACACACATATACACGCACAGACACACACACACACACACATATACACGCACAGACACACACACACACACACACACATATACACGCACAGACACACACACACACACACACATATACACGCACAGACACACACACACATATACACGCACAGACACACACATATACACGCACACACACACACACACACACACACACACATACACGTTTTTGTTACCTGGTGGGTCCCTTTGACAGGGCCGTTCAGAATGGGACCCATAGACATAATCTTTTTTTACTGGGACTACTTTAAGTAATACAAAACAGTCAATAGAAACCAAACAACTATTTTAAAGGAATTTTATTTTAGATTTTGTTGTTCGAATTGCAGTGATTCTATTTTTGACATAGAATTTAATGCCACTCCATGTCCGATGTCTAAGGTCATCTGGTGAGAAATAGTAACTGTAACTCTATTTTAAAGTTAAATTTATTCTTTAGAAGTGTTTTTTATTCTTATTTTTATTATCTCTCTCTGACTGTTGCACTGAGCCAAAGCAATTTCCAAGTCTGTGACCTCCTGTTACTTACGTTGGCAATAAAAATGATTCTGATTCTGATTTAACTGGGCGAGTGGTCAGAAGCAGCTGGGTCCAGGGGCCACTTACAGACTTGGACAGGACCGAACATGGCCCCCGGCCCAGACTTTGCCCACGTCTGAGTTGGAGCCAAATTACCTGATGCGACTTTGTGACCCTTTCAATAAATGTGATTTTTCCAATTTACCAAAGAACATTTCCACTTTTCAACCGTTCGCTTTAACAAATGCATCGGTGCAAAGTGGAAATGTTTTAATCATTTATTTTCAGTGTCATTAAAATTCTCATTTAATAAGAAACAATCACAGCAGGTTGTTTTAATCTCCTCCATTCAGCAGCAGTTTATATACTAGTTTATTAACCTGACGACAAAAGTTGGTGTTTATGGTGTTCATGAACACCATGAACACCATGAACACCATGAACACCATGAACACCATGGTGTTCATGGTGTTTATGGTGTTCATGGTGTTTATGGTGGACGTGGAGAGTGGCCGCCTCTGATAAAGCTGTGAGTCTAATTAACACGGTGACAGCAGCAATCGCAGACTTCCAGTTTATCACAGCGCTCAAGAGAGTGGGGGGGAAGTGGTGAGGTCCTCTGGGGGGGTGCGTGCTGTGGTCCTCTGGGGGGGCGGGGGGGGAGTGCTGTGGTCCTCTGTGGTCCTCTGGGGGGGGCGTGCTGTGGTCCTCTGGGGGGGCGGGGGGGGAGTGCTGTGGTCCTCTGTGGTCCTCTGGGGGGGGGGCGGGGGGGGGGAGTGCAGTGGTCCTCTTGGGGGGGCTGGGGAGGGGGAGTGCTGTGGTCCTCGGGGGGGGGGGGGGGGGGGGGGGGGGCAGGGGGGGAGTGGTTCTTTGGGGGGGGCTACTGTCTTTGTCCGTATGAGATCCACCTCCTCTCTGCACATTAACCAGTGATATTTAGTTAAATCGACACAGTCTGTTCTGTATCTTGTGTCATTTACATTTGCGTGTTGCATCCACCAGGTATGGAGGACCGAAAATGACTAAAGTATAAATAAATAAATAAATAAATAAATACAGGAATATATTAATAAATACATTCATTTTGGACAATAAAAACTAAATATTTACATTGATGTGTTAAATATTACTATGAAATCAAATAAATATACTTTTATTTAGGTTATTTATCAAAGTCTACATTTTTTCCTTTATTTATTTATCCATTTATTGCATATATTTATTTATGTATTTCTACATTTCTTCATTTATTTATTTATGTATTTCTACATTTCTTCATTTATTTATTTATGTATTTCTACATTTCTTCATTTATTTATTTATGTATTTCTGTGTTGCCGTATGCTAATTAGGCGGGCGGTGCTGAACTCAATCTAGAACAGGATTGGTGGGCAGTAGGGCAACCAGACAGAAGCAAAGTTAAGCCTAGCGTACATCGACAGAGACACTGGAGACAAGTTTCAAGGCGGCTTTTGGCGACTGAGAGGAGATGGTGGGAGATGATCAGTTGCCAAAATCGGTCGATGTGAGCGCTCTTACAACTGGAGATGATCAGTCGGTCTCCAGTTTCAGTCAGTTGCTACTTTTCGGCAACTAGTTGTCCTCAGTTTCGGAGATATGACCGATGTGTGCGCTCCATGCGCCGCTCCGACAACGTGTGTGTGTTGCGTGTGTTGCGTGTATTGCGAGCCCGCAACAGTTTATGTCAGAAAACACACTGTAGTTGAGGCCAGTTGCTGTCGATGTACGCGCTGTTATTCCCGAGACTGGTCTGCTGCTGGGAGTTGCCCGTTTTCGTCAGATTGTCGATGTGTGCGGGGCAGCAACTCATATGCGACGGATATAATCAGTTGCCAGTCCGATGTACGCTTGGCTTTAGCCTTCTCGGTTTGTGAGAGGATGTGAAGCTGCTGCTTGTTGAAGAGCGTCCAGCACAGTTGCATCAAAGTCTACCTCTGGGTCTGCACTGTGATGAACTAAAACATCTAATAGTCTTTCCAGCCGAAAGAGTAGATAGTCCTCAGGTGCATTATGCTCAACATCATTAACATCATTTGCTAATGCTCTTAATTGATGAGCAATGGTTCCTAAAAAACTTACATTCGAAACTGCCATCATACCACACAAAAGTGCACAGAGGATCTCTAGCTAGCTAACAGAGTACCGTAATGTGAGGCAGGAATGATCGAGACCAGAGTTCACGCAATCCTAACCAATCCTGTTCTAGATTGAGTTCAGCACCGCCCACCTAATTAGCATACAGGAACACAGAAATACATAAATAAATAAATGAAGAAATGTAGAAATACATAAATAAATAAATGAAGAAATGTAGCGACACAGAAATACATAAATAAATAAATGAAGAAATGTAGAAATACATAAATAAATAAATGAAGAAATGTAGAAATACATAAATAAATAAATGAAGAAATACAGCGACACAGAAATACATAAATAAATAAATGTAGAAATACATAAATAAATATATGCAATAAATGGATAAATAAATAAAGGAAAAAATGTAGATTTTGATAAATAACCTAAATAAAAGTATATTTATTTGATTTCAGAGTAATATTTAGCATATCAATGTAAATATTTAGTTTTTATTGTCCAAAATGAATGTATTTATTAATATACTCCTGTATTTATTTATTTATTTATTTATTTATACTTTAGTCATTTTTGGTCCTCCATACCAGGGGGCGCTTGTGATGGTGCTTGGATTTCATGCATTCATTCAACAAGAAATTAGTAATACTTGTTGTAATGTAATATGTTAAGTATCGCAATTTTATTGAATTCTGGCCAAAATCATCACTTTTCCCCACATTTTAGGAAAGAACTGCCCTCTCCACCTTTTGGACAAAACTCTTTGAAAGTATCAGCAGAATGATTGACAGTTTGGAGGACCAATAGTCTTGATGATCCACTCAGAAGTAGAAAATCCTCCTGTACCTTTAACATTGTGCTCTTTTGAATTCAGAATCAGAATCAGAATCAGAATCAGAATCAGAATCATTTTTATTGCCACGTGAGTAACAAAGTTATCACTTGGAAATTGTTTTGGCAGAGAGCGTGCCACTTCGCCATTTGCGGCGCTGTGTGCAGCAAGAAACAGCAGAGAGCAATAACATACAGTTCACAGACAATTGGATAGACACATTGTGCTTTTTATAAACCACGGATTTTTTTCTCGGGAAGAGCACCTCTTCGGCCGGCCCAATGTAGCTGTCAGAGGGGGGCGGGATCAGGGAGGGGGTGAGTAGGAAAACAATAAGGAATGGAGGGGAGGGAGGGAGCAAGATGGATAGGTAGAGGGAGGCGGGGGTGGGGGATCCTTGCTGAAGACTGAAATAGTGTGAGTTGTTGTAGATTGTGGGACCTTGTTTATGGCCTTGGCTGAGGAATGTGAGATAAGAGTGGAGAGAAGCCACAGGAGGAGAAAAACACATCGCCTGCAATGTCGCAGTCAAAAGCAGGCAGATATTCTATTAATTCCAATTAAACCGAATTCCGGTGCCCTCAGACCTCCGTACACAGGGGCAAATCCAAGCCGGGTCAGAGAGATCAAGCCTGACAAACAATGTCATTCAATCTCAATTCCAAAGTCTTATGTCCATCAAGTGAACGAGCTGCGAGGTCTTTGATCAACTGTTCCACCAAAACCACTCTTCTTTGTCCAGACACGGCACTCTCAACCACGACACGGCTAAGCTCCTTGTACATCCCATCAATTTTGTCGGCCAGCAGGTCGTGAATCTTGCGAACTGCCATGCCTCCGAATTTGTGGTAGAAGAGGATCGCTCCAAACCCAAACAGGAGGATCCCCACCACCAAAAAGCCAAAGATATATACGTCTTCCGAATCTTCAATGGACAGGGTCGACAGACAGAGGGGCTGCCACTTGTTCCAGCTGTCAAGCGTATACCCCGCTGGTGAAGTCCCGTCCGGACACACGGGCTCTCCAGACCCACGCTTACGTGTTGAAAAGATAGAATCAATTGCGTTGAGGGACCAATTAATCATTTCCATTCTGTTAAAGTTGTCTGTGGCAAAGCTCCAGGAAAAAAGACAAAAACAGGAGATAGCAAGCCGTTCAGAAGCAGGAGCGGACTAAGACACGTCTTTGCTCGACGGAGGAGGAAGGAGGACAAATTCAGATCCATACATTACATAAATGTAAATGTGCACTTTATTATGCTCGGGGGGTTTTCTTCATATAACTTAGAAACGTTGCGGCCTGATCCTGTCAGATCTCAGAAGCTAAGCAGGGCAGAGCCTGGTTAGTACTGTGATGTGGGTCCAAGGGGAACTGTGGGGCACATGTGTCCTTAACCAAGCCACATGTCATACATGTGTGTAGATGGATGATCACATGTCATACATGTGTGTAGATGGATGATCACATGTCATACATGTGTGTAGATGGATGATCACATGTCATACATGTGTGTAGATGGATGATCACATGTCATACATGTGTGTAGATGGATGATCACATGTCATACATGTGTGTAGATGGATGATCACATGTCATACATGTGTGTAGATGGATGATCACATGTCATACATGTGTGTAGATGGATGATCACATGTCATACATGTGTGTAGATGGATGATCACATGTCATACATGTGTGTATATGGAGGATCACATGTCATACATGTGTGTAGATGGAGGACGCTAACCTGCTCATGGAATCCACATAGACTAGAATATAAGGATGGACCAATCAGATGCCTCCATTCACAGGGAGATGGAACCTCAGATCTCGGTCACTCCTAAAATATGGGTGTTGTCGAGGGATCGATGGCATAGATTACTAGCCACGCTTCAGTCATCTTCCCCAGGGCAGCTGTGGCTATACATTAGTAGTTCACCATCACTGTGTGAATATGGTATGGTGTTGATGGTCCATATATTTCTTGTAGATTGTAAAAGTCTTTGTGATTGGCCGAGGGTGACGCTCGTGAAGTCCTTTCCTTTAAAAACACATCTCTGGAATATCATCCGTCAATTCATCTCTGCATTATTTATCACATGAGCTTATAACTCCATTTGAAGTTAATGATTAAATATTAATGTCAAAAATATGTCTGCGTGTCTTTTTTCTCTCTCTCTCTCTCTCTCTCTCTCTCTCTCTCTCTCTCTCTCTCTCTCTGTCTCTCTCTCTCTCTCTCTCTCTCTCTCTCTCTCTCTCTCTCTCTCTCTCTCTCTCTCTCTCTCTCTCTCTCTCTCTCTCTCTCTCTCTCTCTCTCTCTCTCTCTCTCTCTCTCTCTCTCTCTCTCTCTCCCCATTTTCCAACATCAATACCTCCTCTCCTCTTTCCACTGCCACTCCCATCCCCGACTTAGAAATATAATATAATATCATATCGCCTCCATCCTTCTTCAAGACTTTTTTTCGTCTTCAATGAGCGCTAAATATATCTGGCACAGCAGGAAACGCTGACTCGAGCTTCCCACACCACTTTAGTGTAAACACAGAGGCATTTTGATTGGTCAAGACAGGCTTCTGATGGCGGCGTGTTTGGTGTCTCGTCAGCAGCATCACAACAGACACCGCTTTGAAGAACCAAACCATAATTAGCAAAAAGATGGACGGCTGTTGTTTTAACGACTTGGAAAGTATAGCGTCACGGTTAAAAGTCCTTTACATTATCCCCCAGACTAAACACAGAAGCTCTGACCTCTTTAAGGCATGGCAGAGACAGAACATGTGTGTTTGAAACCCTGGTTAAGGATGACTCGCACTTCACAGACCCCTAGAGGAGTGTGAGGGTACTACAGGAGGTTAACATTGATAACACAAGGTTAATATGGGCTACTGTGGCGTGTTACACATCCTTTTAAATCAACATTTCTCAGGAAAACAACCTTTTCATTCCACACGAACATGGCACAAGGCTCAATTATACTTAATAATAG